AAACAAGTGACGAATTTTGGATGCTAACTATAAACTTTTGTGCAAGACGAGCTGCAAGTTATGTAGAGAACAATAGATGTTGATAGTTCTGACAGGAAGATTTACACATTCCCGGCTAAGATCGATTTTTTTCTTCTAATTCGTTACATAAACGAAAGTGAATTAATTAAAATTTTAGTTAATAAATTCCGGATCTCACATTCACTACACGTTTTCTTTAAAATCGCACTTAGATAGTGTGATTTTAACTTATTTGGTTGGGTTGTCGGTGAATTCAGGTATGTTTACATTGGTTTAGGTAGAAAAATGTCCTCTCTCTCGATAAACAATAAGGTTAACAAGTGACGCGGTCGCGTCTATATATAATAATAATGAAAGATAACACCGGGTGTGGATACAAAATAAATCCCGGCGCGTGTCAACTCGCGACAATGTTTAGTGCTCGAGGTTAGAAGTCAGACGTCTTCGGTTTCCTAGAAGTAGGTCGTCCGTTGGCCGAATGACGTGTTTGTAGATCTCGGAACGAGAGTAGAGTTCAAAGTTCACTGGGTGAAGAGTGTCCGTTGAAGTTTCGTTGTTCTGGAAAGTTGTTCGTTGGTTCGATCGGGATGCTGGATGAAGTTCGTTTCTTTTCCTTCCTTTGGGTTGAGATGATAAAGTTGCACTGTTCTTGGTCAGAAATAATAGTTAATGATAACGTTTAAAATGTCAATGAGTTCGTAATAGAGGTATTTTAAGTTACATAATTGTTGAATGACTATCTCTCGCGGTTTGTTTCTACTTTCTCGAATAAGGAAATATAAAAATTCTTGCTCTACAGCAAACTGTAGAATTCTAAACTACTATTCGAATATATTGATTCTAACTCTATGAATAAACAAATAAAATGTGCCTTCGAAAAACTTTATAAACGAGGCAATATGGAAAGGAGCAAAAATCGTATGATGTGGTCGAAAGACCGTTAACACAATTGACGTAAAATACAAAAACGTGGATTCAAAATTTTTAGCCTTGTTGGTTGATCGAGTTGAACTGACCTTATAGAAGTCTATCGATGTAGAATTTGACTTGATTTAAGTCCTCCTGTCAAGTTCCTTCAAGAGACAAAGTTTTTCTAATCCTCATATATGCGGAAGCCGACGACAAAAGATAAATGACCTTCTATTGACATCAAAAATATTTGATTGAACAATTTACGACTCGATTCATTCACAAGTGGATTACAGACAGGATGATCGATTAATGACGGGTGAAATCAATCGTGGAATGCAGCTACGGGTAGGTCGAGGCATAACTCAGGTTTGCTCCGGAACTGGCCCTTGACTGCGAAGAGCATATGGAGGTGTGATTTCTGTTTCCTCCTCTGTTTCCGTTTCCGATTCGGGTTCAATGTACTCTCTCTCACTCTCGCTTTCCCGTATGGAGGTCAAGGTGGAGTCTTCCTCCGAATCAGCATGAATACTTTGTTGTAGAGCGTCCTCTCCCAGGGGTGTGATGGGTGACTCGCTGGTCACGTCTGTGTCATCCTGCAGCGTTCTAGATCGCTTAAATTTTTTCCTGGTTGCCGGTTTCCCTCTGATTCTCCGTTTTGGTCGCGTCACTCCCGTCTCTCCTTCGATGAGAGAGGCTTGTGGACTTTGGAAGGTGTCCGAAGAGGTTTTCTCTCTTTGATTGCTGTCTTTTCTCCTCCTCTTCCTTCGGCGCGGCCGTAAGGGTGTGCAAAAATATATTTCCTTTCTATTTGGTAGGTTCACTTGTGCATTCTCAAAGTCTAAAGTTAGTCGTGCCGCCACTATGATATCTCGTCCAATAATTCCCTCGAACGGGTTGATAATATCGCCTCGTACAATATCGCATGGTACAATAAGTTTCTGGCCTCTTAATTTAAACGTGGGCATCGCTGTTCCTATAGCGGTAGTTGGCTTCCCTAAGATGGGTCCTATTTTCTGCCTTTTTCCAAACTTGACGTAAGCCTTTTTCTTTAATCTGTTTCCGAGGTCTTTTGAGATGAGCGTGCGTTCTACTCGATGATCGATTCGTACCTTCACAGGGATATTGTTAATATATACGAGTATGATAGGGTTAGATTCCGTTCTTGTGGACCCTATTCTTCCTTTCCATTTCGATTCATCCCGGGGTCGTCGACCTTCGACGCTTTGTACATTGCCTGCCCAACGAGTTCGTTGTGTGTTTCCGACTGTTTCGATCGGAAGCGGACCCGATTTTGGTCCGGTCTAGCGTCGCTTCGCCGTGGGGAATCATTTCTGTTACGTACGCCTCGGTTGATATTATAATTCTCTTGGCGATCAGGAAAATCCTGTGTCCGATTTTGGTTAGGTCGATTATTCGGGGAATCAGATCGATGATTAATCTGACGATATTCGCTCCGTTTAAAAGGCAGAGTACTGTGAGTCCGATTTTTATAGTTCCCTCGCTGACTTTGATTAAATATAGGATTCCTATAATTAGTTCGAGAGGGGCTCTGGTTAAACCATCCATTCGAGTTTTTAACTCATTCATCGCTGAGGTTAATTTCTGTAAATCATCTAATGAATTTGGTGATCGGCCGTCTTCTCTAACTGTTCGCATGATCCCTCGAGGATGTGCTGTCATATTCTCTATCATTTCCTCGCTAATGGCGGCTTTTAGCGCCTCGTCAAACGTATCGGGCTCTCGGGACATCGTTCGTTGCCGTATACGTAAATCAATCCCGTTCAAAAACTGCGCTTTCAACCGTTCATCGAGTTCTTTTGTCTCTGTATAATAGCAGTTTCCTCGGCATTTGCACCCGGCTCTGGCGTAATCACTATTTCCATTGCCAGAGACTGAAGACGAGCGGCATATGCCTGCATATCTTCCTCCCGTTTCTGAACGCAAGTATAAAATTTATTTAGTCGGACCGGAAAAGGTTCGCGTTCGAAACGCTCGATCATTAAACGCCTAAATTCATCGAATTCATCTACTGCTTTAATTCTATGATCCTTCCTAACGAATTCTCAGGCTATTCCCGTCAGTTTTAATTTCAATCTGTTACTTTGGTGCCTCTTGCCTCTCCCGAAAATACGGGTAACAACGGGATTATATCGCTTAGACCTCCTAATGTGATGGGATTCGGTGCTGGATTCGAATTTGGGTTGTCTGGCCCAGCCGCAGGTTGAGGTTGAGGATCGTCCGCCATTTTTTCTATTACTAAGAAATCTACCTCCTATTCCAAAATCTCCGATTCTACTATACTGAACCTCCTACTCGAATCTGCCCTTTTTTTTCTCACCTTATCGATTTCTCGAGGAAGTCGAACCCCACTCCTGCAAAACCAATATGTGAACCGCCGGGGAGGTCGGGAACCGTCGACTCTCCCTGTACGGACGACAGGTCGTTAAACCTGCTCACTGTCAGGATAGCTTGTTTTACGATAACGGTCCCTTTGGTTGGGACTCAAATGTCAGGCGAGTGGAGAGAGAGTTTTTGGGGCCGACAATAAAGTGAAGGACATAAACGAGTAAAGGAGTCTACCATTTTAACAAGTATAAAACAAAAATTATTAAAATAAGCAAAATTGACAAAAGACTACACAAATCTCGTTTCTAAACCGCCTAACAGCTCGAGAGAGAGTTTACACGCCTTTTCCATACCTCTTTGTAGGTTTCATAGACGAGTAAGTCCATGTAGGCACTTAAATGTCCAATACAAGGTGTCGTTAATCCAATGAGCACATATATAAAAAGTTCGCGACTCTGGCGATGATAGGATATCGGTGTTCGTAGATCAAACTTTCGGCGGTTCGAAGAATCGGCGCGATCTCCTCGGTCCGGCTTTCGTTAAGAGACTCCCCCGAGAGGGGGTAAGAA